CATTGCACCTGCGACTGTCTTCTTCATCCTTGTGGTGTACAGTACCGGCCGCTGCATTCTTGGCAATCTTGTCAAGGACTTGGTTTTCCTCCTTTCTTGCTTTGGAGTGCTCCCTGGAGCACTCAACGCTGCCTTTGAGGAAAATGGTATATTGTCGGGATCGCTAGGCTTAGCGCTCACCGGTAGTGTTATCGAAGAGCGTGCAGAGTCCTGACTGGAAGCCAGGAGCACGTCCTCCTCTGAGCTCAGGATGTCTTCCGAGGCATCTCTCCTCCTCTCATCGAATTTTGAATTTTTGAATAAAGGAATCGGTGGCGTTGGGGAACGTCGGTGCGGGCGTCTGCGCATGGCGCCACACCAGTATGACTGACATAGCATCACTTAAGCCTCATCCCCAGCGGCAAGGAGACCGACATGATGATTTTGTTTAAGTTTGTTTAAAAAATACTTTTTCTGTTCAAAAATATCGAATCGCTAACATGAAAAAACCAAAAATTACGCTGTCTGAAAAACCCATGTTACTTTTTTTTAGTGTGCCTAAATACCTATCTAAGTTGTTTGAACTTATTTATTAGAAATAGGATGTATTTCGCGACTGAGAGCTTAGTGCCAACAGCTCAGCATGGCTTTGTGTCTTGTAGATCAACTGTTATTAGTTTCGTTATTTTCTCTGCTATTAATAGTCGGGTTCACGTACATACATACATATGGTACTGTATATACCTACTTCTCCAAAGCACCTAATACCTGGTACCTAAACTAGCTAATTCAGGCTTTCACATCGTGTTTCTATCTTGGGTTGAAAAAAATATGTACATATGTATGGTGCAATGTAAGTCGTATACCACTAAATATGAAGAAATGTTTTCATATATCTTTTTACAGAGATTTTTTATACTAACTTCTTACTCGAATTATTGCAACTATTGTAGAATCCTATACTATGCTTGTTTTTAGCCTTCGGTTTAACTAGCTCTGAGTTTACAGACCCCTATACATTTACAGCTGTAGTACGCTCCAAGCTGGAATATGCCGTATTCTTCTGGATACCCTATTACGAGTGTTATAAAATTCGACTTGAGCAAATTCAAAGAACTTTTGTGCGCTTTTCGCTGCATTATTTGCATCTCACGGACCCGTTGCTCTCTTATAGTGTCAGGTGCAAGTTAATCAACCTTATGGATAAAACCACGACGCAGCGAACAAAAGTGGCGTCGTAAAACGTACCGCTACTTTCGTTTTGCCGATTTTGACAGTTCTGAACTAAAAGTAAACAACGCTTCAGAAACCTTAACTGCACTGAAATTCACTACACTGAGCCAAAAGCACAATGTTTTTGTCAGTAAAGTAATGTTTGATTTTTTCATGGCAAATAAATATACCGATTATAAGAAATGTAATTCAAGTTGAACATTTGAAAGCACATTTGTATGTCTCGCTCTATCTAAACGTGCAGAGATGCTCACTGTTATTTGTTAGCTTCCAGCAGGTTCGGGTTCGAATGACGTCGAAGGAAAGATATAGTTTTTTATACCCGAGCGCACTTGTGCACAAGGGTATTATAACTTTGTTCTCATAACGGTTGTTTGTAACAGGCAAAACGAATCGAGATAGATATAGACAAATGTATACATAAATGATCAGAATGAAAAGAGAAATCGATTAAGCGGTAACTGTAACTGTCTTTACACGATAACTCGAGTAAAAATTGAGATATCTAACGAAACTTGGTACGTGTACTTCTTTCGGGCGTAGGAAGGTATTGGAAACGGGTAAAAGCGCCTACCTCCCATATAACGGTAGTTTTCGGAAATACGAAAACTGCGATATATTAGTAACTACTGCAGCTTATTCACTCAAAATTGATATTTACAATGATTTCTAGACGAAAAATAGGAGTATTATACATTTTTGGAAAATGTGCGTCCCACCCACGGCCATTGTTAATTTTAAAAAATCTCCTCGATTCCTTTTTAAGTTTCCACAAAAACCACGGTTTTTACAAGCTTTAGTTATGTTTCACCAGTGTGTAATTAAATCTCGTAATATATTTTTTAACCAACTTCCCGATGAGCTAGAGACTTGAAACTTCAAACTGGTTCGGAGCAAGATGACAATGCAATATGAAAAGGATTAATTTGCTGAATGGCGCAGGTATCGAAATATTTGTAAAAAACCGTACATGTGATCATATCAATATATTCATATTTGGAATGTATATTAATTACATGAAATTAATTTTTTCGGTAGATGGCGTAGGAGTCAAGATATTCAGAACATATTTTTTAAATTTTTCGTTTTTCTTACTAACCACTATTAAAGAATTTCTAGAAAATGGTAACTTAACACAAAAGATATCAGCTAAGCTCTGACTGAAAAAATTTTGTATGTCCTACATTCCAAAAGTTGTTGTACGCGGCACACTGTGGGATGGCGCAATCTTGTATTCTATCATTCTTGAGATAATGCAAAAATTATTCTTTCGCTGATAGTGGTTTTCGATATAATACCCAGAGCAATTGACTCGCCATTTTTACTTGAGCCATTTTACTTCCAGAACCCTCCGGAACCATGATACTTTCATTTTAGAATATTATATGCATCTAATTCTACAATTACAACGCAATTAAAGAGTATAATTCGCCCCCAAATTCTGTAGATATCGATTTTTCTTTATCGAAAACTAAGTTTAAGCTATTATTTTTTTATTTTTATTATTTATTAGCCAATGAATACCATACAATTCTTATAGGCTAAGTGGAATAGAATATAATACAATCATTCTTAAAATAAAAAACAATAGAGAAAGTAACTACTTATAAAAAAGCTTCAGGGAGTTCTTGAAGCGACTTCTTAAAAATGAAAAATCAATCTCGTCACACTGAGAGATTCCGTTCATAGGCGGGAATAGAGGGTCCGAAAAGCATAAGCTACGAAGCGCAAAGCGCAAAAATAACTACTGTATACGTTCGATCCTTGTAATATGACATGATGTATGGAGATTAGATAAGGACGCGTATTCAAGCCTATAGCGAACAAATGCCATATATAGCAGTTTCAGTGTATAAGGATCGGTGAAATCCGAGCTATGACGCCGCACAAACGCAAGCATAGCATACGATTTAGAAATAAGTATTTTTTTAAGCAAAAAACAAGGCCGACTTCAATTCTCATATACAAATTTAAGAGCACCGTTAATTTCTTCATGATCCAACGATCGGATCTAAACCAGATGACATGTTGTTTTTCTTTAAATATTCACATTGCTTTTGAAGTTAAAATCTTTATGCTATTTTCCTTAAAAGTATTGTTTTTGCTATCACCAAAACCACATAAATTAAACTCGTCAAACTTTATAAAAAATCTGAGATTTAACAAATTTTCATCAAAATTTCTTACTTTTTAAGAAATTCATGTTCTTTTGGAAGGAAATGCAAAAGGTCGTTCACATATAAAATTTAAAAAATCTACGCGAATTTTCAACCGGTTGAAGCTTGCCCTTTATCATACTAAAATTTCATTACCTATAAAACTGCTAATTTTCTAAAAACTAAGATTAAGAAATTAGAACTTTTGATGACAATTTGTTTAATTTTCCTAAATTTTGTACAAAGTTTGATATTTTAATTTATATGGCTTTAGTGATACAGGCTGCAATTTGGTAGCATTTTTTGGTAAAAATACAATTCTGCCACATCCGACCAGTTCGATGGTTGCTTTTCACGTTTCTTTTACCCTATGAGCCTCTTTCCAAAACCGTCGAAGCCTTTTACATATATTTTAGACGTTCAAGTCAATATCACGAGTATTTACATTTTCTAAATCAGGCAATGTCTCCAATAGATGTCCCAAACCTTTCTCATATTTTTCCACTTCTGTACCACTCAGGAGGTACCAGAACTCAAACATTTTATTCCTTGAAAGGGACAGATGTATGAATTACCTGTTAGTTAATAAAAAAAAGTAATTAATTTAAATTAATTAATAAAATCGGACCTTAAATATGGGATTTCGAATATCTCAACACCTGCGCCACCTAGCGGATTAATTCTTATTGCATTGCCATCGGGTTCTGAGGTAAGTTTGCAGTTTCAAGTCTCTACCTCATCGGGAAGTTGGTTAAAAATGAATTTCAAGATTTGATTACACAGGTGAAAGTAAATAAAAGCTTGTAAAAAACATATTTAGCTAAAGGGTCGGCTAGTAGCGGGTGTGTATCAAATAAACGTGCAGCTAAAGTATATATTATTTTAATCTACAGAAAATGAGCTTTCATTAAAAAAAAGGAAGAGTGGCCTTGAGTGCCAGGGTTTTTAAAAGTGTATGTAAAAAAGGTTCAGCAGAAATTAATTAAAGGAAAAATAGACTTGGATTAGAACCGACATAAATATAGCTGTATTATTAATAAATATTGATAATTATTGTTCTAAATAGGATCACTTACCTTTGTCTGGAATTTTCATTACAGAGTTTATTGAATGAATTCCGCGTTTTTTGTAAAATAAATATAAAAAAGTTAGAAGTATTGAGTCACTGTCAACTTTCGAGAGTGAGGAAGTATTCTTAACAATTTTTTATCGCAAAAAAAATTTACACTGTATTGAAGTACCATTAATAATGACTGATTGCCTGTCAATCAATCACAGGTTAGAAAATGTGCATATTTTTGAGTTTTGACCTCCGGCTGAACCACTGTGCAGTGGTCAGATTTTAGGTTTAAATAACCTGGTAAGGAAATCTCCTTAAGTAAACATCACTGGTGTCTGTTTCTCGATACAATTGTGAAGGCCTGTTTACATACAACTTGGCGTTGCGTTGGCGTCGCTTCGACAGCAAACTATGACTACATGCATTTATATGAAAGTCCCCACATAATCAAAGTTGGGCAACGCCGACGCCAACACAACGCAGAAAGATGGCCAACCCTCAACTTTTTGTGCGCGTTCGTCAGCTGTTCCAAATAATCAAAGTTATGTGATTTAATTTTCATTTTTAATCAAATGNTGGCAGAGCGCGGTTCGTTGTTAGATACTCTACGCAAGCAGTGTAAACATACGCCGTTAACTCACATTTGGAATTGGTCGGTACAAATTGTAACTGGTATGGCGTACTTAGAGCAAAAGCGTTTCCTTCACCGTGACTTGGCTTGTCGCAACGTTCTACTAGCTTCCGGGAATAAAATCAAAATAGGTGATTTCGGTCTGATGCGGGCGTTGCCGCAAGAAGATGACTGCTATGTCATGTCTGAGCATAAAAAGGTCCCATTTCCTTGGTGCGCTCCAGAATCATTGCGATTTCGACAATTTTCACATGCGTCAGATACCTGGATGTTTGGCGTAACCCTATGGGAAATGTTCACTTTCGGAGAGGATCCATGGGTTGGATTAAATGGTTCCCAAATTTTACGAAAAATCGACAGAGAGGGTGAGCGACTGCATCAGCCAGATGCTTGTCCTCCAGATGTTTACGAAATGATGCTGCAGTGTTGGGATAAAACACCTGCTGAGCGGCCAACTTTTGCTGCTTTGAAGTAGGTACATATATCAAATAAAATGTCCATATGAAGTTGAGGTTTTCTTCTTTTAAAGGGAATTTTTAGTAGGTATGTCGCCACCAATATTTAAAGCATCACGGTCCTATCTCGAAGAAAATAGGCTTAAGATCGAGGCTGGCGATACCTTAGCGATTATTGACGGTCGCGCTGATTTGAAGTTAATTAAGGGGCAAAATCAGCGCTCATTTGATATTGGCGTTTTCCCACGCAATATATTAGAGAAACAGAAGCATACAAACAGTGACCTCATACGACCGTTGCATGAAAGCATTCGTCATAGTGGCGGCCATGCTGGTTCGCCATTTGGTTTTTGTTGGGGAGGAGCCGGAGCGATGAGTGCGAGTGCAGAAATACAAGCAGGTAAGTTTTTTAAATCAATGTTAGGTATAACATTCTAATTTGATAAAATATTTTGTAGAGAGAAATCGTAAATGTGCATCCATGCAGCCGCAAATGCAGCATGCACATCATGCCAAAGAGAGGAAATCGGTTTCTAATAAACAGTTTTCATACAACAAACTAGTTAACGAACGTTCTGCTGAACTTCAGCGAAACCAAACGGCACAGGCAATGAAGGGTAAGACACTTGCTCACCAAAAGCAGGGTCCTCAGCGTCCCCCTCCACCACTACAGCAACAAAGCGAGGGTATTCTGATTGATATTTCGCCGGAGTTTGGACTTCCTTCGTCGTCTATGAAAGTCGATGATAGCAGTTCGCTAAAAGTAGATAGCACATTTTGTATATTAGATGCACCGATTGATGTGCCTACTGAGGGCGAAGAATATGAGGCTACCGCTGTCGCTAATGCATCTGGGTTACTTTCTAGTAATGTCACATCATTGAACCAAAACTTCCGGATAGGAGCTTCGTCACCTGGTCAACGCCAACCACCCCCTTATCAAATGCCACCCACTTACTCGAATACTATTGAGTTCTCGCACCAACAACAGCCACAATCGATGCAACATCATGATCCCTTCGATACTAGTAGTGTGCAAATGAGTAGCGCTGAAAGAGGAGGAATTTCTACTTATACAGGTGCTATTTCTCTATACTCAAACGTTATGCGTCTACAGCAGCAACATCTACAGGAGTCAATATTACGTGCAAACGCAACACAGTCATTATGTAACAGTCCTTCAGCACGGAAAAGTCTTTTCTTCGCAGCGTCTAATTGTCCAAGCAATAAAGAAAACATACCACATTCCCTTGCCACAGAAGACTCAAGCGCAGTGATTTCAGAAGGCCAAGACACTCTGCAATCAACGCTGAGCTCACTTAGTCTTGAAAAGCCTATAGAGCCAACTAATGCAGAGGGCAATGTTTTGTTGGATAAATCCTTTATTGCCGAACTCGAGAAGGGCATGTATAGCAGCAAAGGCCAAAATGATTATGAACGTAACTCCGCACAAATGTATGCTAATAAAGAGATTGTTTACAAACAAAATTTAACGCCGTTAAAAAATTCAGTCAATCAGTCTAGCACAACAGGAACATCTAGTACCGGCACTTCGCCTCAACTACAAAGCCCCGAATCGTACAATACTCATGCAAACCAACTACAGAACTCAACTAGGCCTATGTCAGAATTGCGTAATAATGATGAGATTAAACAAAATAATTTGGATGCGGCTGTTGCACATGAAATGTGCGTTGCTGTGAGAATGGGAACCGGGGCATCAGCTACAAGCACCCAAGATGTGATTAATCGAATATGGTATGAGCGTGTCAATGGCACATCAGGGAATTCGACGTACTATGCGCATCCACCGGATAATATTTACCAAAACCAGGGTAATTACGCAGAACGTCATACAAATACTGAACAGCCGAATCATAGTTTTGTGGCGATTTCAAATCGCGTTGTCGCACCAAAAACGCAAGCAAACAAGGTTTATGCTTCGGCTGCTTCTCTATATGGCAGTATTGTTGGTCGCGAAATGTATGATTCGGTGGCTCCAACACCCTCAACATACTACGGCCAATTACCTTTGAATGCCATTAGCGTTGGCAATGAAATTTTTACAAACAGATTACCAACCGCATCAGCAGCACCTGCAGCGATTTACGATGAGGTGACTATCGATGACTATTTGCGTCCACATCGGCCGGCGCCTTTGGCCCCACCACAGCTCTCTACACAGCAAATACAACGCCGTCTAGAGAAACTAAAGCAGCAGCAGGATAATGGTGGTGGAAATTTGTATGCACCTATTGCAGCCGAATCCGCTCGGGAGAATGAAAAAATTCAACAAATACTCAAGGATTTGGGCTCCGCTGCTCTGGAAATTGATGTACGCAATGCAGTGAGGGCCGCAAATGGCGATGCAAATGCTGCAATACGACACTACAAAATCGATCAACTTACTAGGTGTGTAGCTAAAATAGTTTCCTATGTGTATGCTTACAAAAAGCAAGATAATTCGAAAGCTGCAGCTTTTCTTGCATTACGTCTTACCTATTGTAACAGCGTAAAAATGCCCCAAAAGTGTTTTTGATTACTGCTCTTGGAGAAACCGTTACCAATTTTCAAATTAACCTTTGCTAAAGAAATTTTATAAAAAAGGATAAGAAACGAGATAAATAAGTACCTTATTTTAAGGTACTACATAATTTCCGTACGAAGATAAAGGAAGTATTTTTCTGAGACATTTTCTCTCTTAATAGTGTCGCAAACTGGGCTAGGTGTGCTGAGTAGAACCTTCACATGCCGGACATACATTGGGTACGTCGGGATCTTGCCTGGAAGTATAGCAATATAATATCCAAACCGCAATTGAGCCAGAATTACCTGGTCTCTATAGGTACGGTGGCCATCCGTCCTGTATTGTATGGGACAGCCCTCTGTTTTTAGTCAATTGTCCTTGCAATTTATTTAGTTTATATGGGACGCAAAATATTCTGCTTTCTTTTAATGCCCCGTATTTGTCACATATCCAATACTTAGTTTTTTTTATTGACTTCTCTCTACCAGTTCATTAGAATAGCATGCTATAAACCCAGATAGTGAATGCTCAAGCCTACTATCGCGGAAATTTTAGGAATATTTGTACATCCCAATAAATGATTTCTCTCACAAAAGAGAGTTTCAACAAATTTAAAATGTTTGAGGGGGATTTCAATAATGATTCATCTTTTTCAGAAATAAAATGCTCAAGTTCGGAAGTAATAAAAACAACAGACTCTTGGTCCGATATACAAAAAGTTTAGTTTTAATTTTGGCAAAGTGAGATTGCTTAATATTTGATAATAATGAATAATTTGAGTTTAATTGCATTAGAGCAATTTTTAGATAAAAATGTGAAATGGTTGATTGATGAAACAACTATTATTCGATTATCGCTTTTCCATGGTATTGTGAACGTCGTTATCTCGTTAAATAAGTTAGTGTGAATAAATTATAGGCGACCATCCTTCTACAAACAAACAGTTGAAGAAGGATGAGCGACTAAAAACTATTCACAGTCGCTTATTGAACGAAAAATCGACATTCACAATACCATGGAAAAGCGATAATCGAATAATAGCCGTTTATCTACTATTAGTCGACACTTGCAATAGGGGTGAGTAAGTTCAAATGGGCAGAAATCATAGTTACTAAAAATATTCTTCGTCGCACTCGAATTAGGCGTATAATCTGAAATAGAGCTGCGCACTTCCGATTGGGAACATGAACCTATGCATTAGTATAATTGAAGCAAATATTCAGGTTCTACCGTTTGTAGCACTCTACTAAGAACTGCTTGCTTAGCATGATGTTGGACTCCTTTATTGGGAGCATTTGGGTCGCACTGTGTAAGTGGTATTCTGGCGATATCAGAAGGCATACCGCGACTGTCCGGAGTGCTGTATTTTGGCAGGTCTGTAGTTTCGTCTACTGCACCTTCGTCCAAGTGGTTGTTGTTGTTGTTGTAACAGTATACATATCCCCAAAGAATTTTTAGGGAGTGTTGCTGGAGTGACAGTCTTTGGGACTGTCGTGCGAGCGTTCAAGTGGTTGTTGTTGTTGTAGCGGCTACAACAACCCCGCCCAGATCGGTTAATATCTCAGTCGTTGTCGTCCAGGTCAACTAACGGTAGCCCCAAGAAGCGTTCAGCCTCAATAGGGTCAGTCCACAGGAACAAAGGCGTTAGGGTTGTCGGGATTTCCGGGCATACGAAGAGATGTTTCGAGTCGTGAGGTGTCTCTCCGCATGCCGAATACTCATTTGGCACATCTGCGTCTAATCTGCTCAGGTAGGAGTTTAACCTGCTGCAGTAGCCAGAGCGAAGTTGGGCTATTGTGGTTCTAGTCTCCCGAGGCAGATGAAGCTCCGTCTCGTCTATGTGAGGTGGTTGTGTGCCTAGAACGGCATTCACAGGTCTGGAGTCTACATAACTCGAGACTGACTCCCCGTGAATGCCGCTCAGTCCCTGTCGATAAGCTGACGGGTCCAGGGGTTGCTTTATAAACCTCTGGACTTCGGTCGTCAGTTGTAAAGGTGCCTTCTGGCATGCCTTGGCGTGGGCTCCTCTGCAAGCAAGTGTCTGTTCGGGTGTCCAGGTCTGTGGTTCCCTACTAGGAATTACCTGCAGAGCATTTTGATGTGCTCCTTTATGGGGAGCATTTTCGCCTCGTCGTAAAGGTGGTGTTCTGGCGACATCAGAAGACATCCAGTCGCTGTCCGAAGTGCAGTGTTTTGGGTCGTCTGCAGCTTCATTTACTGCGTCCTACTAGTCCCCGGCGAACGCATTGGAGCTGCGTAATTTAAAACCGGCCGGCCTATTGCCTTGTATGTTGCCAGCAACGTTTCTTTGTCTTTGCCCCAAGTACTGCCGGCTAGCGACTTGAGGACTTTGTCGCGGCTCTGTACTTTGTTGACAATAGCGGTTGCGTGCGCAGAGATGGAGAGCGGACTGTCGAAGGTTACTCCGAGTATTTTGGGGTTATTGACCTTCGGAATTGGTGTATCATCGACGTGAATTCCCAGTGGTAGTCTGATCTCCTTCGTCCAGGTGGTGAACAAGGTCGCAGAGGATTTTTTAGGGGAAAGGGTTAGGCTCCTAGCAGTGAAGAAGCAAGAAAGCTCGAAGAGATTCCCTTTTACTTTCGAGCGCAAGTCATCAATTCCATTCCCAGACGCCATTATCGAACAATCGTCAGCATAGGAGATAATCAAGACCCCGTCTAGTGGTTGAGGGAGCTTTGAAATATAGTAGTTATACAGCAATGGGGAAAGGACCCCACCCTGTGGAACCCCCAGTTTAATTTTTCTAGGTTTGCTCGATTTGTCTCTAAACATTACTGACGAGTGTCGACCACTTAGATAATTCGCCGACCACCGTTTGAGCCTCTGTGGGAGAGATGAGGCCTCTATGTCTTCTAGTAGCATAGAGTAACTGACGGTGTCAAACGCCTTTGACAGGTCCAACGCTAATAGAATAAGTAGTTCTCTCACATTGATGGTTGCGGTTAAGGCCACGTGTTACTGAGTGTTTATGGCGTTAAGTGCTGTTGATGTACTGTGCACTTTATGGAAACCATGCTGATGCTTCACTGGGGTCAGGTGGTTCGTGAAATACGGGAGCAGCATGTCCTCTAGTGTCTTCGCTACCGGGGAAAGGTGTGTTATCGGCCGATAAGATTTTCCTTTGTTGGCTGGTTTCCCCGCTTTGAGCGGTGGCCCCACTCTCCCCAGCTTCCAGATGTATGGGATGATGAGAGTGGCCATTGACATATTGAGGACCTCCGTTAGATACGCAACTCCCGAAGGACCCAAATTTTTCAGCATCAACATGCATATTCCGTCGGGACCCATGGCTTTGGAGGCTTTCGCCTTCCCGATGGCCACCTGAACTTCACCGCTGGTGAAAGCAAGGGGGCACAAGTTGGTGGCAGTTTGTGCAGCCTTCTGGTCACTCGACGCTTGGCTTTGTCCGCCGGAGGATGCAGGCCGGCTAAAATAGCTCGCGCATCGCTCCGGGTCCGACGAAGCATGTTCGCCTAAAGGAATTTCGACCCTTTATTCGTGCTCCGTCGGATTGGACAGTGACCTCACGGTTGACCAAAGCTCACACCAGAGGTGAAGTTACAGGTCTTCAGATGCTCTTCCCAACTCTTCCGCTTATGTACGTTCACTAGTTGCCGAATCCCCGCTTTGAGATCCCTGATACGGGGATTTCCGGGATCGGCCTGACGAAGGTTGTCACGCTCATCGGTTAGAACAGCCGCTTCAGCAGGGAAGTTTGGATGTGGGTCCGTGATGCATCCTGCCGGTACGATGCGAGCTGCAGCAGCAGTGACAACCCTGCGGAACTTACGTTCACCAAGGTGGACGTCGGTTGGTGTAGGGAGCGCAGCGAATGTGCCCTCAGTTAATTTCAGCTTTAGAAAAGTTGATATAGGTCCGGTGTTCCAGCAAAGTCGGTTGGTTTATCGATCGAGATGACTATGGGCAGATGGTCTGATGCCAAAGTCAGCATAGGTCGCCATGGTACGCTGTTTTTCAGACCAGCGCTGACTATTGTTATGTCTGGCGAGCTGCAGCAGCTGCCCATAATCCTGGTGGGTGCGTCGTCGTTCATTGTGCAGAACGTCGAATCGTCTATCTGCTCAGCCAAGTCAGTTCCCCTATGACTGTTTGACAGGCTTGAGTGCCAAAAATCGTGGTACGCATTAAAGTCACTAACTACCATACGGTTTTCACCTCTGAGGAGCGCACCTATACCAGGGTGATATCCTGCCGGGGAGCAGGTGACAGGGGGTATGTACACATTAAATATTTTGAGCTCAACATCGCCTGACCGGATAGCACTGCCCTGACATTCTAGGGTGGTATCCCTGCGGTCGATGTCTGCTTCAATAAGACGATACTGCACGATGTGGTGCGTGATGAACGCTAAGCCACCACTCTTATCTCGCTCCCGATTTCAACGGTGCACGTTGTACCCGGCACAATTCAACAATGTTGAATTGCTGTGCAACTTCGTCTCTTGGACCGCAGCTATCAATATGCCATGCCTTCCCATGAAGACGGTTATCTCCTCGATCTTGCTCTGAAGCCCGTTACAGTTTACAGTTAAATGGAAGGAACTTCATGTAGTTCGGGAGGCGGGTAGTAATGCGGGGTGTGAGAGATGGTGTGTGGCCTAGACGCCATTGGCTGTGTGCGCTGCTGTGGTGGTTGCCGCCCTGTGGTGGTAGTGGGTGGCATCGCAGTTGGGGTTTGCGACCGTGCAGCGCAACACGGGCCCTCAAAGTTCCTCGTCCGATCTCGCATGGCTGAACATGCCCTAAAGTGGATCCAGCCAAGGCAGGTGTTGCACTTGACTGATGTCACTTTACGGAATATCCTGGTCTGACGTACCTCCAGATTGTAGGAGGAACCAGGAGTTGTTGGCGGCGGCGTGTAGATGGTGGTGCAGTTGTGTCTGTTGTGTGGTCTGTCGTGGTTGTGGTGTGGTCTATTGTATTGTGGTGCTGTGGTGTTTGTGTTGAGCTGCTCAGGTGGACTAGGGTTAGCCGTGAAGGCTGCTTTGTTTGAGCAGCAGGGGGCCACAAATGATGTGGCCTTTGTAGGTGCTATTTTCTCTAGCTTCTTTTCACAAATCTGTTGTTTTAATAACGATTCAACGATTTTTATGCATAAATCTCGATACCTGGAGTTCAGGGTTACCAACCATTTTTGCCACAACGGCGGTTTTGCAACTGGTCCATGGGCGGTTTTACAAAAACTTCGACGATATGTATTATATTAACATACACAGAGTGATCGAAACAAAAAATAGTCTCAACATGTTGATTTGGGCCAAATTCTTATAAAATTGTTTGTTGAGTTGGAGCTACTTCCGCCGGTGAAATAAAAAGCGAAAATACGTTACGAAATTAGTCGTTCCACATTTTGACTAGTTTTCACAATTATTTTTTTTTTGTTATTTAATTTGAGTTATTTATTATTAAAATATAGTTCATTCTTTAACAAAAACCGTTTAAATCCAAGTTTGAAACTTTGTGAAATATTAAAAAAATCAACAAACTTTCGTACAAATTTCGAAGTTTTTAATTAGATTTTCTAGAAAAAATTTTAGTATGCAGTTTTGTAGCCCACTCAATTCTAGTGCAAGTTTCATTTCATTTCATTTATTAAACGAATTCATTAGGAAAGTAAAATATAAAAGCTCTTTTATAGTATAACAGTAATTATAAAGCACAAACAGAGAGAAACGAAGGAAAAACAATAAATAAAAATTAATAAAATAAAGAATTAAAAACAAAAAAGAAAATAAAATAAAAAGAAAAGTGAGACTAATCCTTTGACTACAAACTAATATTATAAACGCGTAGCGTTGACAATTAAGTCGCTTATACGGGCAGGAATAGAAAAATACAATTCCTTGCTTTCAAGAACTCAGATATCTCACAGACCAATAGGCGAGATCTCCCAACTAGAAATGTGATAAAATTTAGCCAAACCAAATACATACATACATAACGTGTTACATGATTGAAATGAAAACTACTTAAATTTTATGGACAGATTGAGAACTAAGTTTGCTGTAAATACACTCAATATAACAAGTGGCTTAAAATTTTCGTTTTAAATTTTTTTTGCCGAAGTTGTTGCGGTTTTCTTCCATATAAAATAAATTATGGTTATTCGTTATATGAAAGCAAATGCGACAGAATATTTTAAAAGACCAACGGTAATTTTTAGCCATTTGCAATACTAGATTTGAACGAGCTACAGAACTGCATACGGCTCATGCCGCGGTGACGGGTGTGACATTTCAACTTAAAATTTGTTTACACTGAATTCACCGATTCCCCTCGCAAACTGAAATTCCCCGCAAATCGGGGAGTTCCCCACGAGTTGGTTTCCCTGTATGTATGTACGTATGTACGTAATACACTGGAAGCGTGCTGGCATTAAAGTCGCCAAGAACGATTTTTACATCATGCCGGGGGCAGCGCTCGTATGTGCGCTCCAAGCGCTCATGGAAACTATCCTTCCTTCCGTCTCAAATGTAAATGAGCAAGATTTTGAAGAATTTTGCTTTGATGTGGGTTGAGGCAAGACGTTCGTCCACCGGGCCCGGCTATCGCATATCTTGGATGGCGGTCATGTCAGCTTTTGTTTTCACGGGGACATCAACAAGCCGGGCAGAGGCATCTTCCCCATTAAGGGTTCCACGAGCATGCTCTCAAATAGTTGTCCTTTAAGCGTGTGCCATGGTCGTAATCAAAAGGTGGTCTCATCCGTGGCTTTGTTATCAGAATTTAAGTATTGGACTCGGCTTTTCCGTTTTTTTTCCCAAAACTTTGGGCGGTTTTTTGAAGTCCTAATATCGAATAAACCGGATTTTTTCAGCTAATATCTATTTATACAACTGCATCTTAAAGTTCACTGTAAATTCACAATTGAGGGATTCGTGAGTGTCGTATTGCTGTATGTCGTAAACTTTAAAAGCTTAAATAAATGCTTAGAGAACTTGAAACGACAACCAACTATTATTTAACACTGCAAAAATCGAAATATATGACTTTGTTGGTACTTTACGAACTACTTTAATCTAGTTTTTATGCGTATTCACTGTTGTGAATACTCCAAATATTTTTTGTTTTGTTGTAACCTCAAACATAACTTTTTTACCAATCTTGCTCTTAAATACAATCAAGTTTCCTTCGAATATTCTTTTTGGGTATAAATACGTATTGTTATGTAACATTTATTAACTGGAACAGAAGAACCGATTTCTTTCTTTCCTGCACTTTGCACTAAAAAATTTAATGTGAACAAATAAAAATTCATAAATCGGGCTCAACTGGTATCATGGTAATTTTATAATCTTTTATTAAAAAATAATCAAATTGGTTTAAAAATTAAGGCTCCAGTGAATTTTGAACATTAAATTCCAGTTTTTAACCACTATGCAATGCGAATTTGGCTCACGAAATGATTTAATGAGAAGAATTAAAAACAAAGATATTTCAGCAAAGAATTAATTGAAATACATATATGTTTTACAAAATTCTTATAAAAATAAAAAGACAAGGTGTAGGCTTTTGACAACTAAGGGAAAAATCATTTGATCCCAGAACTTAAATATTTATTAGATCATATGTTTGCTTTTCTATTAATCCAAATAACTTTGGACTTATTCCATTTCATAGACTTAAAAAAAGGCCACAGCGAATTTTTATAGTCTAATGACTGGTTAACACTAATCTCCGGTGTTAAACATTGTTATCGACGTATTCGACTCCATTCATATAACACGGAGTCGGTAACGTCGATAACGATGTTTACCCATAGATTAATGTTAACCAGACATTGAGTAACCGGCCCTAAATCCATTTTTTCCTGTATTTAGAAATTAACAGTTCTTTTTCCAAATTGCCTTTTTTCGAATAACTTGAAAACCGGTTTTAGGAAAAAGTCAAATAACCGGACACCCTATTAAATAGCGATATATTGTAATATATGTTGTAGTTTTTTTAAATCAAAATTTCATTTTTCAGACTCGGGCTTGCAAATCGTCCACAGTGTGAACAAGCGTTACAGAAAACCGGTTGGAGCCTAGAACTAGCAGCTGCTGCGTTACTAGAAAATACTTCATAGAAGGTTTAAATTCGCCAAATTTTCAAAATACTCCTTATTCTACTAATTTATCATTCCAAACTCTCACCTTCTCGAATTCTTTAAATTTACGATTAGTATTGAAAGTCAATGGGCACGTAAAGAAAAAAGTCATCGAATACAAAAAAGGTAAACAAAATACAGAGCACGTTACAAAACGTTAACGAATTTATTTCTATTGACCGCCTCAATTTAGAGCGAAATCTCGAATATTGAAAATACCTGATGTTAACAGTGTTACGAAAAATTTAGAATTAATATTAATTTTTATTTATGAAACCCATTAACTATAGCATAAAAAGCAACAAATGTATTAGAACTAGAAGCATTTGAAGAGTATTGATAGCAAATTTTAATGCTATCAATTCCAAATTCCTAGTACACTAAACTCATAATATATCGACGTTAGGCAGATGAGAAAATTACAATTTTTAATCGAAAAATTACATTGAAGTACATATATTTTTTTATGTAAATGAATAAGAGAACTTGTAACCTGTTATTGCATGTAAATGGTAACATTTTAAAATTCTGTCATATTTTTTGGAACTCAATATATTGGGTGCTTTCCAAAACGTCAAAATACAAGGCATCTGTCTCTTTTATTCCTAAACCGCACTTGAAAACTAGCATCTATCCGTGGTTGCGCTTATTTAGCATTACGGTCTATTGAGGTTGACGTTTTGGAACGCACCCATTCTTAGAAGTCAGTAATATATTTTAAAAGATTTGAATTCAGCTGGCTAACTTACTTTTTATAGTAATAAACTGACAATTCTGATCGAAATATGGTTTTGAAGTACAGTTATTTAATATCCTGAAAATAAAAGGTTTTTTTTTGCTTTTAAAGTAGGATAGATAGCCAAAACTAACTTAAGTCAGTCGAAAATCAATACATTCAACCGTGCAATGAATGATTAATGTATCTGTACATAAATGAAAACATCAAAATGAAAACCCAGCATATTTTAAGATACGCCCTTTTAATATTCTTATTTAGGGCTAAACTTTTTGACTTACTTAGCTTATCGTAAACTATTTGCAAAATGCCAGAGGAATCCAGCAATCAAAATCTTTTTCGCTCCCCTTCATGGACCTTTATTCGAATATTCTCGTCGCACAAGACTCTTGTGACAATAGGAACGCAGACCAGAGATGCCAACTCTTCTGTGGCTAATTCCCCGAAATTCCAGAAAAAATTCCCCTATTGATGAAAATCTCCAAAATGAATTTTACTACATATTTAAGTCACTCCAAGCTCATCTTTTATTAATATCATTAATTGTGCTTATATCATGTGATAAGGACAGCTTTTTTAACATTTCATTTTTACAATATAAAAAGCTAATTAATATGATGGCTCGTGGCGAAAACGAAACGAGAAAATAGTGTGAAATGTGTGAAAAACGAAAACGTGGAAAATGTCGATATGCACAGTGGCAATTTCTTTAATACACGGTTGCACGAGGCAATTTGTAATTTATAAATGCAATTTTATCCTCAATAGGAATGTTCTAATCAAAATCGTTTGTATATTGAATTCCCCAAAATTTAAAGTCATTCCCCCGATAAATTCAAATGCCACCAAAATCGGGGGAATTCTCCCCTAGTTGGCATCACTGACGCTGACAAAACTTAAGGTAGTTCATGTTAAGAATTTTGCGTCAATTATATTTTAGAGCTAGGTGTACGCACTGTTAAAACACTATTGCTGGAAGATCAGAAAACTAAAACAACTATCTCGATGACTATTTTCAAATATTGTATTTCAGCATTTTAGATTAAGTATTATAATGGAAACCCTTTAATACTTTCAAAGTTTTTTTTGACACACCGCCCAGTCAACATTCTTTTCGCCAAAAAGTTCAACAATGCTAAGTGGCTATAAATTTTAAATGAAAGATATTCTTAATTTTTAATTTATGAAATAAATTTATAATACATATGTATGATTTTAAACATGCATGATATTAAAAATATTTGAATGTATGTACGTTGTGTTAGAAATTAATTAAATTACGTAGATAGTGTTAATCAATTGCGTAAATACATACATATGTATATACTCTACAGGGCATATGTGTATGTATCTAATGAGTATTACTTGTACATTGGATGTTTAAAAAGAAAATAAAGTAATACATTCTTAAATTTATTAAAGGTTTTTAAAGCTTCGATTTCTTACTGAGTAAGTACAGTCTCCCATTGATAACAAAAATGTGTACATAATAACTAGTGGAACAAAAAATCTGGTTTAAAAGTCCCTTTTGACAAAAAAAATTGCCTTGCAATAAAAATTATCATTTTCTCACTGTTAAATTACTGTTTTAAGATTTATACTAAACTAAGTCTTTTCTATCAAATAATTTGTTATTCATCTCAACAAAACGAAAAATAAATGTATGTACATATCGTCGATGCTTTTGAAAAACCGCCCATCGACCAGTTGCAAAACCGCCTAAATCGCCGTTGTGGCAAAAATGAGATTTGGTAACCCTGAACTCCAGGCATCGAGATTTATGCATAAAAATCGTTATTAAAACAACAGTTTTGTAAAATATTAGCTAGGGAAAATACCGCCTATCAAGGCAATGCCTTCAAAGAATAAACCGTCTTTTCGCTCTCCTGTAAAATTTAAGTGCCGTAAGATAGGCGGTTTTGCAATTGGGCGATGGGCGGTTTTGCAAAAACATTGACGATATGTATTTACAATATGGCCTATAGAGCCATATTATTATACTAGAATTGAATGAGCTATAAAACTGAGTGCGAAAAACTTTTCCGAAAATTCTTTAAAAAAAGTGTAAAATTTTGGGGAAAATTCGCTGAACTTTTATAGTTTTTGGGCAAGGTTAGAAGTGAGGATTTGTACGGTGTTTATTATAGAATCAACTATATATATGGCTAATGCCGTGACTGCCCTCGGCCCGTTCAGAGTACGTTCCAATTCCTTTCGCCGCACTGTGCACCGACTCCATACAAACAATGGACAAAAATTGGAGTGGTCGGAGTTTGTTGAAACTTTACTACTAAAAGGATTACATCACGATAATTTCAAAAATGAAATCGGTTTTTTCATACCAGTTACTGATTTCGAAAAAAATGGTTTTGTACATTTTGCTATGTACATAGCAGAGTTCTTGCGAATATTCGCATTCGCAACCGCGGAGCTTCCGCATTAATTTTAACATTCGCATGCGGAGCTTTTGCTAATGCGAATGATGTGTAATTGAACCGATAAAACGTATATCTGGCAAACAAAATGACAAATTGTAGCCAATATTTTTATCTGTTTCCTTTTTGGTTGTTGTTGTTTCCGACAGGATGGGTATATGATGTATTTTGGAACGAATTTCCGTCTGGAGAGAACGAAAAATGACACTGAGACGGCACAACGCCGAAACCGGTTAGTCTCCAAACCAAATTTGACAAGGGATGACGGAAATTCGTTTCAATATACATAATTTTTATCTGTGGTCGTGGGAGTATTTGTGTAACAAATCTGGGCAAATTTTATATTTTTCAACTTTGATAAAAATGTCATTAAAAATGTTATTTCCTAAGCTATATAACCGATTTATCAATGGGCAGTCATACAAGTTCCCACTTCTACAACATAGTCATTTTAATAGAGTTTTGTCTTTTTTTGTTTTCTGTGCTTTAAATGCCTTCATTTGTTTATTTCTTTATTATGATTTTTTTTGGACCAATCTTAAAAAAACTACTAGACATAAAAGAAGAAAGGGTGCCCTGTAGTCTTAACCCCAATTTTCGTGATTTGCCTTTGATGTTACATCTATTCGTTTCAGTCATTTAAAATGGGGCTCTTTGGGGAATTTATTTTTATCAAAAATTTTAAAAACAGTAGTTTTGCTTACTTGTTGGATAATATTTTTTTTTTATATTTCATCGTGTCATAAAGAAATTAACGGTAATCCCAAATTTTTGTATGTAGTCGCTGGTATTTTTTCCTCAAAAATTACTTGTTGTTGAACATTACTTTCCATCCTTTTTCTTCTTGATAATTCGCTGAAGTTATTTTGGCGGTTACGGCTCGATTTTATCGCATCTCCCAACTTTTTGTTGATGGCGTTAATCAATTTTTGCACTGAACGGCTCATATAATGGTTAAAGCAGTCTACAGAAAACAACGCAATTTTCCTAGAATTAAGAAAAAGACTAAAATACATATATGGCATTTCCATCTGCCTGGTTATCAGGCTAACTGGTTAAAAAAAATTTATATATATATATATATATATATATATATATATAATTAATATAATATAATATAATTTGGGCGAGAGACCCCACCATTGTACAGCAGAACTAGGCAACCGAGTCCTTTCCTACCCTTTCCTCAATGTTAGGCTTCCACCGTTGATCGTCCACCTAGTTACATGATTCAGGTAACCTTGAGCCAGATCAAAAAGGGTGTATAGAAATTGCCTTGCCACAGACATTTTTTTGCTACCAAAACCTACCAAACATTTTTTTGAGTTTTAATATTTTTTTTCAATGTCAAATTTATTAAAAACATAGCTAACATAACATTTAGTAAAACTAAAACACAGCTAGTACAATAAAAACAAATTAACTGCGTATAACGATTCATTTTACTGTACATACATACATATAGTCATTAGATACGAATAAAGACGCGAGCTCAAAAGTTGACAGCGAAAACAGACGCGTAAAAAAATTTCAGCGAAGAAGGACTCTTTAACATAGGCGAGGGCAAAGAAAGACGCGTTAGCCTCTTTGACGGCGAAGAAAGACGAAGAATACTTATTTTCGTGGTCAACTATGTTTGCGAGTATACGAATTCCCCAAAAAGTTTTTCCGGAATGATGTTGAATCTATGTTTACGCGTCTTTTTTCGCAATTTTTTTTCACGCTTATTTTTCGCCGTCAAAACACCCGAGCGTCTTTCGTGTCAAGTGACTATATTATTATTATTACGTCGGAGATACCCTCGTTGCGATCTAAGAAGATGTATTGTGCTAAATCTGNTTTTTCCGGAATGATGTTGAATCTATGTTTACGCGTCTTTTTTCGCAATTCTTTTTTTAACGCTTATTTTTCGCCGTCAAAACACCCGAGCGTCTTTCGTGTCAAGTGACTATATTATTATTATTACGTCGGAGATACCCTCGTTGCGATCTAAGAAGATGTATTGTGCTAAATCCGAATTGTAATCGCTCCAACCTTAGGCTATTTAAAAAGCTCAGCACTTTGGATGATGTCATGTTCTAAATTTTAGATGGAGAAGACAATCCTTCTCCAAGGTGCATCAATCTACTATTCATGCTTCGTGGATAGGAACATAGAATATACTCTGGGGTTTCCTTCACCGGCCCACAAAACCTACTGTCAGTCTCTACTGAAAGACCCTTTAATTCAATCGGTACGTTAACTTGCAGTGTGCTGTCAGGTAGCCAGTAAGAGTTTTAAGTTCAAGGTATCTTTCGGAGTTCCTCATGAAAAGTTCTAAGGCTCGGAACCATGCAAACGCATTTGGGCTTTACTCTTTGCAAGACAGTCATCCCTTTGGTTGCCTTCAAACCCTTTATGTCCCTGAACCCTCCACAGCGGTACGCTATTGTGGGCTCCCAGGTGGTTCAAGAGTTCACAAGCCTTGATACCGTTTTGAAAGACTCTAAGGCTTCTAACGCTGCCTGAATATCTGACATAATATTTATATCCAATTTTTGGCAACACTGATAGAAATCGTTCCTTNCCTTCAAACCCTTTATGTCCCTGAACCCTCCACAGCGGTACGCTATTGTGGGCTCCCAGGTGGTTCAAGAGTTCACAAGCCTTGATACCGTTTTGAAAGACTCTAAGGCTTCTAACGCTGCCTGAATATCTGACATAATTTTTATATCCAATTTTTGGCAACACTGATAGAAATCGTTCCTGAACCAAAAGTTCCACATAGTGGAGTGCTCCTATTGACTCTGCACTGTGTGCAGATGCTCCCCCACTCCGCCGCGACACTTCTGTCACGAAGTAAGCTGTAGATAAGCTTTATTAGGTTGGTTTCAACCCCCATATTATGAATATACTTGACTATTGCCCCTGGAGTAGCATTGTTGAAGGCCCTCTCGATATCGAAGAAATTCCCAACTGCATAATCTTCATGCGTGAAGGGTTCCTCTGACCACCTTACCATTGTGAGCAGGGCGGTATTCACCGACCTTTTCTTGCAATAACCATATTGAGCTCTTGAAAGACATTCACGAGGAATCCAGCGTTTTTAGTAAAAGCGTTTTAAGCAAAAACGAAGAGACTGATAGGCCCTAAAATCCCTAGCCTTTTCCGGCCTTCGGGATNTTCCTCTGACCACCTTACCATTGTGAGCAGGGCGGTATTCACCGACCTTTTCTTGCAATAATCATATTGAGCTCTTGAAAGACATTCACGAGGAATCCAGCGTTTTTAGTAAAAGCGTTTTAAGCAAAAACTGATAGGCCCTAAAATCCCTAGCCTTTTCCGGCCTTCGGGATGAACGCAAAACTGACTACCCTCCAAGCCTTTGGATGAGAATGAAATGAGAACGAAAGTATCGGGAACGTTTTCAAGGAGGATCAAATAAGACCCAAAGTCTGGGGAACGTTCTGCTAGATCACAAAACACCCCTATTGCGAGTGTCGGCTAGTAGTAGATAAACGACTATTAGTCGATTACACTGTATGACAGTGATAAAACACTTTTTACGAGACATACCTCAAGTTGTACGTCTAGACAAGTATACAAAAACTAGATACTCAGAATTTCCAATACGCACTCGCAATCTGGAGTTAGGGGCCAAAAACCCCTTTTCAATAGGTGAAGGCATATATTGGCCCATAACTTTATTTCTAGTTATTCTATGAAAACAATTTTGGTGCCATTGAAAAGAGGACATTTCTTCTTCTAGCGATGTATAAACTTCTTATTTTGTTTACAGAAATTTCAGAGAAACTGTACAAAATATACCAAAAATTTCAATTTTAGGAAAAAAATGTCTATGTTGAGTAGGGATGTTGCGAATGTGGAATTTTAGACATCCGCGGATGCGAATGCGGATGCGGATGTTTAAAAGGTAGAAAAGGAATGCGGATTTCATGTATTTTTAAGAAATAATTTAGGTGGGTAAATTAGGTAACTTAG